CACAGCTCACAGCAACCTCAAACTCTTGGGCTTAAGCGATTGTCTTGCCTCAGGCGCCCAAGTAGCTGGAAATACAGGCGCCTGCCACAGCGCGCAGCTATATTTTTTGCAATTGTCATTGTTGTTTAGCTGGCCCGAGCTGGGTTCAAACCCACCAGCCTCAGTGTATATGGCTGGCTCCGTAACCATTGTACTATGGGTGCTGAGCCTACCTTCCCCTTTTTAGCCTCAGTGTACTCATCCATGAAGTGGGCCTAATTGACAGGGTCATTTGAAGGTCATCATAAGCAGCATTGATTAGCACCTACTGTGTGCCTGGAGCTATCCTAAGTGCCTCCCCTGTGCTAACAACCATCCTGTGAAGGAGGCCCACTCCTGACCCCCACTCACAGAGGAGAAAACTGAGGCTCAGAATGGTGAAGTCACTAGCCAGGGTCACACAGCCAGAAAAATGTTAGGAGGGAGAAAGGAGTTAGATTCAGAGCCCCTTGCTCCTAACCTCCTTAACAGCCTAAAAAGCACTGGAAACCAGGCCAGGCAGGTAAGTACTTCTTAAGTGAGAATAGCCGTGGCCACCTATTCCAGGCAACTACTCGCAATTCAAACCCAGGCAGCCCAACCAGTTTATGGGCCCTGGGAGGGGGGTACTCATGTGCTCAGTGAGAGGGAAAGAGGTGAAGTGTATAAACCATGTCCCTACTTTCTGCTGTGGTTGAACTTGGAGAGGCAGAGGAAGTGGCTGGGACCGGGACCGGGACCCAGGACCCAGAACAGGCCCTGACATCCAAGCAAGGACGGTAAGGTTAGCAGGACTAGCTGAGCCACAGCATCTCCTGAGACTTGGTGAGTCTCACCACCGCAAAGCCTCCATAACCAAGGTAAAACCAAAGGTCCCGTGGGCTAAATGCCAGCTTTGCTAGATCCGTGGCACAGACCAAGACCACCAAATCCAATCCTCACCACACACTCCTCCCTAGAACTGAGAGCCTGCACCTAGCATTTGTTGAGCACTTACTGTATGCCAGGCATTCTTCTGAGCATGTTGTGTGCACCAAATCCATGCCAAGACCCTGTAAGGTAGGTAGCCATCATCCTTATGTTAGAGTTGACAAAGGGAGGCCGGGACAGTGCAGTGGACTTGCACAGGTAAACTCCAAGAAAGATGAAGTGGCTGAGATGTTGGGAGTCGGAGAGCTGCAGGTTCAAATCCTGGCTCTGTCTGTCCTCATGTACATTAAAGATCTTGGGCTGGGCTCGGCGCCTGTGGCTCAAGCAGCTAAGGCGCCAGCCACATACACCTAAGGTGGTGGGTTCGAATCCCCAGCCTGGGCCCGCCAAACAACAATGATGGCTGCAACCAAAAAATAGCCAGGCGTTGTGGCGGGCGCCTGTAGTCCCAGCTACTTGGGAGGCTGAGGCAGGAGACTCGCTTGAGCCCAGGAGTTGGAGGTTGCTCTGAGCTGTGAAGCCATGGCACTCTACCCAGGGGGATAGCTTGAGGCTCCGTCTCAACAAAAAAAAAAAAAAAAAAAAAAAAAAAAAAGATCTTGGGCTGGAGATGTCCCCTCTCTGAGCCTGAGTCTCCTCTGTCAAATGGGGTTGGGAATGGGTCAAACCTGCCCCATGTGACCCTCTGGTTCTTCTTCCTCAGCCGTGTTCCTGAATGTGCGGGCCGAGATCTCCATCACCCCAGAGCCTGCCCAGCCAGCTGAGGGGGATAATGTCACACTGGTTGTCCACGGGCTTTCAGGGGAACTGCTTGCCTACAACTGGTACGCGGGGCCCACACTCAGCGTATCTTATCTGGTGGCCAGCTATATCGTGAGCACAGGCGATGAGACCCCTGGTCCAACCCATACGGGGCGAGAGACTGTGCGCCCTGACGGCAGCCTGGACATCCAGGGCGTCCTGCCCAGGCACTCGGGCACCTACATCCTGCAGACCCTCAATAGACAGTTTCAGACCGAGGTGGGCTACGGACACTTGCAGGTCTATGGTGAGACACCCCCTACACCCCGCCTGCCTTCCTCTCAATCCTTTCTAACAAGAAAAAAAAAAAAACTCTAAAAAACATTTAAACCAACAGGAAAGAAAAGGGGCCTAAAATAACATTAAAATTGCCAACTCCTTCGGGATGGCTTCCAGGATTACACCTGCCTCCTAAACTCATTCTTTGTCCCTCCAGCTGGGGGCATAGGGGCACCGCCACTATCCGGCCATGCTCCTTGCCTGGGGAGGGGGAGATCCTTGGAGCCAGCGGTGCCCGGCCCCCTCCCCCTCTGTTTCTCCCCCCACAGAGATCCTGGCCCAGCCTGTAGTCGTGGCCAACAACACGGCACTAGTGGAGCGTCGCGACACCCTGCGCCTGCTGTGCAGCAGCCCCAGCCCTGCTGAGGTCCGCTGGTTCTTCAATGGCGAGGCCCTGCCCATTGCCATCCGCCTTGGCTTGTCCCCCGACGGCCGGGTACTGACCCGGCATGGCATCCGCAGGGAGGAGGCTGGAGCCTATCAGTGTGAGGTGTGGAACCCGGTCAGTGTCAGCCGCAGTGAGCCCATCAACCTGACCGTGTACTGTGAGTCCTCCTGGCCCCACCAGAGTTACCCAGTGTCCAACCTTATAGATGGGAAAACTGAAGCCAGGAAAGAGAGGACTCAAGGGTGCACAGTGAGTCAGCAGTCCAGCTGTAGTCAGGAACCAGGGGGTCCTTCTTAAAATACACTTGACCCATATCCCAAAGGACTCCTAAAGACCACCTTTGATTTTGAATAATCCTTCAATTAAAAGCAATACCCACAGAAAACGGACAGAGAACTGGTTGGTTTAGAAAGGGAGCTGGTGGCCAAGAGCAGTGTCTCACACCTATAATCCTAGCAGGTAGATTGCCTGAGCTCACAGGTTCAAGACCCACCGGAACCAGAGCAAGACCTCATCTCTCAAAATTAGCCAGGCATTGTGGCAAGCACCTGTAGTCCCAGCTACTTGGGGGGCTGAGGCAAGAGAATCGCTTAAGCCCAAGAGTTTGCAATTGCTGTGAGCAACCACAGCACTCTACTGAGGGCAACAAAGTGAGACTCTGTCTCAAAAAATATATATAGAGAGAGAGAGAGAGAAAGGGAGCTGGAGAGGGAGTGCTGGAATGGGTCAGGGGGTTGGGAAGGAGAACATACAATAAAAAACATAACTAAAGCGTGCAGTCATTCCCAGCCAGGGGCAGCAGATGTGCAGTGTGGAATCCTGGGAAATAAATGCCTAAGGTACAGGAGGGCTGATGAAGTAGAAAACCTTAGAGCATAGAATCCTACAAACAGAAATCTGGATTTCAGAAACACTGAATTCTAGACTCTGAAAGTCCTAGAACCTCTAGTAGCAGAGATTCTTAGAACCTTAGAACCAAATTCTAAAATCTTAGAGTCTAGAAGCTTAGACACATAGATTTCTAGAATCTTAGAATCCTAGCACCTAGAAGCAGCAACTCTTGAAGTCCTAGAATTCTAGGCCCTTAGAATGGCTTGTCAGAAAAAAATTGCTTAAGCCTTTTTTTTTTTTTTTTTTTTAGTGGAGCCATAGATTTCAAAAAGCATCTTGAAATTTTGTCTGGCTCAACACTCTTTTCACAGAAGAGAAAGCTGAGATCTCCCGAGAGGGAAGTGGTTCTCAAGATCTTAGAGCAAGTTAGAGATCAAGGTGGGATTTGAAAAGGCCAGAGCTCTTTCTTCCCTCCACTAGGCTGAGATAGTCCCAGGGACCCAGCCTGGTGAAGAGAAAACCAGGGGTGCCCATCTCTGCTCCCCCCTCCCTCTACTGCCCCATGTCTCTCCCTCCTGCCCCCACAGTTGGCCCAGAACGAGTGGCCATCCTCCAAGACTCCACCACCCGCACGGGCTGCACCATCAAGGTTGACTTCAACACATCCATCACACTGTGGTGCGTGTCCAGGTCCTGCCCAGAGCCCGAGTATGTGTGGGCCTTCAACGGGCGGGCCCTAAAGAATGGCCAAGATCACCTCAACATCAGTAGCATGACGGCAGCTCAGGAGGGCACGTACACATGTATTGCCAAGAACACCAAGACCCTGCTGTCTGGATCTGCCTCAGTGGTGGTCAAGCTCTCAGGTGAGTTGCCCCCAGCCTGACCACCACCCTCTCTTCATGGAGCTCCAGTCAGATGGTGAAGAGTAGGCCACCATTTGCCCAACACAGTTTTGGAAAGTGATGGATTCCCAGACCCTCACTGGAGTAGCAACAGAGTGGCATATCAGGTGGACCCCTCTTCATCCAGGCCTGAATGGAGACAGCCCATGCCCTATCATCTGAAAAAACAAATGGCAAATCAGACCCTTTTTCTTGAGGGGTAACAAAGTGATAAATGGGTCACACACCATGCACTGTGGGATGGCAGAATGGGAAACCATTCAGATGTCACTTCATGTGGGTGCTCCTGTTCTAAATTCAGTCACCAGCTGCTCGGGGGCTCGACCCCTGCCACACAGACAGCTGAATTTCTATGCAGCCAACTAGACTCTCCAGTTATCTGGCCCAGTTGATGAGCACACAGGCGACTGGAAAATCACAGCCCATTGTTGGCAAATGGAGAAACACAGCTGAGGAAGCATCATCTTCTTCTGTCCTAAAATGACCTTGAAGCTGAGTGTAGTGCAGACAGCTGGTGTTTTTGGAGCCATTGGGATCCTCAAGGGACATTTTCTCATTTTCTGGGGATGGTGTCTCTGAACATCAGGGCCTCATTAATTCCACCTCATTCCCTCTCAAGTGGCCATCATCCCCTGGGGACAGTGGGAACAGTCCTCCCTCCCACTAACAGGCTGGGTCTCATCCAAAGGGTGGATACTCTTTCACCCAAAGCAGAAATGGCATCCCCAGAGGTAAGTATACCTCCTGCACCACCCGCCAGGGGCCTTGGCAGCTGGTCCTGGCAGGAGACAGGGGGGTGGACCAGATGACCTCAGGCGCTACCCCAGCCCTGCTTATGCAGGCCAACATGGGGGGTATCCAAGGTGTGCAGGTATGTGCAAGGAGTGGATACAATGCCCCCAAGGGCCCTCAGTACTGTCAGCAACTCTGTGGTGGGTGCTGGGAGAGAGACAGAAAAGAGGGAGACACCACCCTTCCCTGATCTTGGGGAGACTCTGATCTGATGGAGGAGACATGGTCTCTGCCCTTGATAGGTGGTAATGGAGCAGGGAAGCATGGCCCTTTATTCAAGGAGCTGCCAGTCAGAGAATAAAATCAATGCCTCATTCTCCATGGGCTTCCAAACTGTGGTGGGGAAGATATGACACCCATTCTCAGTGAGCTTCCAGTGAAATGGAAGAGACATGGTCTGCACTTGGGGAGAATTTCCGTTCTGATGGGAGACTTGGTCTTGAGGAGACATGGCCCTGTTTTTTGAGAATTCCTAGTCTGATGGAGGAGACACAGTTTTCACCGTTGGGGGTACTCCTAATCTGATGGAGGAGTACAGGTCCCCACCTTCTAAAAATTTCCAGTCTGATAAAATAGACATTTTCTCCCAACTAATGGGGTCCCCCTTGATTGGAAAAAGCCAGCCATAATTTAGAATTTCCCAATCTGATGGAGGAGACAGAGCCCCCAACCTTGTAGGAATTTCAGATCTGACGAGGAGACATGGCCTCCCACCCTCTAGAATCTTTTGATGTGATGGGGAAGATATAGCCCCAAACTCTGGGGCTTCCAATGTAATAGAAGAGACACAACTCCCAGCCATCTGATGGGGGAGACATGGCCCTCATATTCTGAATTTTCCAATCTTATTGGGGAGACATGGCCCCTGTGGTTTGGGAATTTCCAATCTGATGGAAGAGACATGACCTTTAAGAATCTTCCAGTTTAATGGGCGAGACATCCCCAAAGGCTGGAAATTCCTAGTCTACTAAGGGAGAGACAGATGCTTGGGAGGCTTTGTTAAGATGCAGAATCTACCTCCACCACACAAGTCATCTCCTTTCTTGGTCTCCTTCCTAGCACCCCACATGGGGAGTGACAAACAGGTAGGGGGAGGCAGGTGAACCGGCCAGGGACAGGAGGAAGGCACTGTGACAGATGCAGGCCAGCTGACCCAGCATCTTTGCTCTCTCCCCAGCTGCAGCAGTTGCCATGATGATCGTGCCCATTCCCGCCAAACCGATGGAGGGCCAGGACGTGACACTAACTGTTCAGGGCTACCCCAAGGACCTGCTGGTCTACGCCTGGTACCGCGGGCCTGCCTCCGAGCCCAGTCGGCTGCTCAGCCAACTGCCATCGGGGAACTGGATCGCAGGCCCTGCGCACACAGGCCGGGAGGTGGGTTTCGCCAACTGCTCGCTGCTGGTGCAGAAACTGAATCTCACTGATGCCGGCCGATACACGCTCAAGACCGTCACACTGCAGGGCAAGACAGAGACTCTGGAAGTGGAGCTACAAGTGGCCCGTGAGTGTGCAAGAGGGGGTAGGGGATGCCTCTATTCAGATAAAGGCTTCTAAAGGGGGCCTTTGCCCCTCTGTAAGGTTGGGGGACATAGACCAATGGTGAACATGCCTCCCCCGTCAGACTGAAGGGAGAAGCCTCCTTTCCTCTATCTGACTCGGGGATTCCCAAATGGGGCTCTGCCTCTTCTATCAAACTGAACCTCTTCCATCAGACAGAGGCTACTGATGGGGGCTTCCTCACCTTTCCTCTCATTAGTACACCAGACTGAAAGTTTTACTACATAACAGAGAAGGCATAGTCTTAGGGTGAGGCATCCTTTTAGAACCCTAAAACAGGAAATATCACCTCTTTCACCATATTGGGAATATGGGTCAATGACAAGAGTTTACCTCCCCTATCTGATTGGAGGGATAGAGTAAGAATGAGATATGCCTCCCTATTCAGGCTGGAAGATTCTAGACAGTGGGGCTCATGTCCCCTCCTTTCTATTACAACGAGAGTGGGAACAAAATTTTTACCATCAGATGGCAGAGTTTAATCTCTCAAACTGAAATAAAGATGATCTCCATTAGGATAGAGGCTTCTAGATATGGAAACTGTGTCTTCTCCATCAGACTGGGAGTTCCCAGATGCTGGAGACTAGGATCTCCCCATCAGACTAGGAGCTCCCAGAGCCAGGGACCATGTCTCCTCCATCAGACTAGGAGCTCCCAGAGCTAGGGACCATGTCTCCTCCATCAGACTGGGAGCTCCCAGAAGCCAGGGACCATGTCTCTTCCATCAAACTGGGAGCTCCCAGAGTCAGGGACCATGTCTCCTCCATCAGACTGGGAGCTCCCAGAGTCAGGGACCATGTCTCCTCCATCAGACT